AAAAAAGTGCCGAGCTTAGAACATAAACTATTAAAGACAGATTGGGCTAATGATTTTGGCAAGAATATCACTCATTTGATCACCATACTTGATATCGGTGTTATCAAAACCAGATCGGACCGGACTGGCCAGTCCAAATGAAAAACCGGTATCTATGCTGGTGCTTGTTCATGATTTAGATCGTTTTACAATTGAACTGGATTAAACCGGACAATTTTTAATAAAAATCGAACAAACCAATTGAAACCGATTTTTTAACTATTGCAAATATTTTCACTGCATTCACAACTTCCATTAAAAAGCTGTCCTGCATGCCTTGATGACAGAAAGCATTAGGCTTTTGTTTGTTTTTATATGCGCAAAGGAAGTGAGGTTCATTATGGATTCTCGATGTGGGGTAGACTTTCCCACTTGCAATTCCCAGCATTTTATCTCTTGAAGCAGCCTATGATATTGTTTTTTTGTTCCAATTTTTGTTTTCTCTCTTCTTTTTTAGTCTCATATTACGGTATGATTTACAATAATTATATCATAAATTTTATAAATTATCTAAGAAAATCAATTAATTTTGAAGTTCTTATTTTTTCTATTTGATCTAGTATACTTAAAAACATGCTATGTCTATAATTATAATTATTTTTTTAGTTATTCAGTATTATTAGTAATTTTTTATATTTAATTATATGTAAGGTTAATTAGGAATTTAGATACTACTTTGTGCGTATTATGCTTTGTGTGAATTTTATTTGTGGAAATCATATGTATTGTGAACATGTTTCAAATTTTTTTAGTTAAATTATTATGTTTTATAATTTTTTTAATTTTTTTATTATAAGACTGGTCCAACCAGTTGACCCACAGTTGAATCAGTGAACCATTGACCCGGTCCATCTGTTAGTTTGATGTCCGGTCCAATTCTAATAACATTGCTTGATATATGGAGTAATGATCTCTTTTTGCATTAAGAGATCTCTAATGATATAACATTCCACTTCAATATGTTTGGTACGTTCATCAAATATCGGATTACTTGCGATGAAAATTATTGTTTGGTTATCACAATGCATATGCATAGGGGAAGACACATCAAGTCTTATATCATGAAGTAAAGATCAGACCTATAATATCTCATAAACAGTGCGAGCCCAAGCATGATACTCAGCCTCTACAATAAAACGTACAACTACTTCTGCTTCTTGTTGTGCCAAGTATCAAGATTACCATTAACAAATGTACAATAACTAGAAGTAGATTGTCTATTACCAGGACTACTTGCTTGGTTAGCAAGGATTAAAAGTTTATTTCGGTGCATTGTTTTAGTCACGTAGGAAATGGAAACTTGTTGACGTAGGAAATGGAAAGGGTAATTCTTGGTAGAAAAAAAAAGATGACTCAAAAAAGGTGACATAATATCGGCGAGATGCAAGGTTATAACAATAACAAACTTTATGAGTACGAGGGTTTCCCAGAAAGATACACTAAATCGAGCGACGGGAAAATTTATCTTGTCGTAGACCATATAGGTGAACAAATGCAACTCACCAAAAAACACTAGTAAAAGGGTGATGTATCATGATAGAACAAGGAAAATGGAGATCTATTACCCAAGATGGGGGAAGACATCCGCTTGATAAGATAAATTGCAGTGAGAACAGTGTCTGCCCAATAAGATTTAGGTACATGCATGTTAAACATGAGGGTATGAGCAGTATCCAATAAATGACTATGTTTGCGATCTGCAACACCTTTTTGTTGGGATGTATGTGGACATGTATTATGATGAATAATACCATGATCAACACAAAATGTATGCATAAAAGATTGAACATACTCAAGGGCGTTATCAGAGCGAAATATTCTAGCAATATCTTTTTGCCGAGATGTATGTGGACATGTATTCTGATGCATATTACCATGATCAACACAAAATGTATGCATAAAAGATTGTACATACTCAAGGGCATTATTAGAACAACATATCTTAATCGTTTATCAAATTGTACAAGTATTTCATTATAGAAAGTAAGAAAGATTTTAGACAATTCTAAACGATCTGTCATAAGAAACAACCAAGTCATGTGAGAATAATCATCAACAAAGATAACAAAATAATAAAATCTAGAAATACTTTTTATTCTTGAAGGACTCTAAATGTCAGAGTGTACAACAGAAAAATGACTAGACTGACGACTCGTACTACCAGTAGGAAAGGAACTACGGTGATGCTTGCCTAATTGATAAGTCTCACATTGTAATATAACACAAAGATTCAAATTAGGAATGACTTGACGAAACTTTTGTAGTCAATGGTGACCCAATCGAAAGTGCCACTAGAGGGGAGACACGGTAGCACTCAAGAAGACGTAGAAAAGATCACTAAACGTTATAAAGACTTGGCTAACTGACTCACATATAGCAGATTAAAGGGAAACTGAGGAATAAATAAACCAGATGCTAATTACATGGATTCAGTAGGATGAAGATCACATACTGGTCTAAAAGAACCATCAGCTAGCATACTACGAGAGCAGATTATGCTAATGATAATCGAAGATGATGAAATTACTTGGGCTGTCAGATATGTGGGCATTAGCTCACTAGCTCCTGAATCAATAATCCAAGATGATGAAGCTGATTAGGCTGCCATGTGTGCAAAATTACTTGCGGTGGCTACACCAGCAGTTACCAGAGAGAGTAAAGACAATTGTTGGATAAGCTAACTAAGATGAGAAGTGAGATCATCATTAGAGGCAAACAAGGATGTAGCATGCCCACCAGTCAATGGCTTAGATAGAAGAGGAGTTTGGCTCATCATAAACCAGATTAGCATAGGCTTGTCTTTCATGTTTGTCCTAACGATAATCCTCAGTATGGCTAGCAGCTCTACAATAAGAACACTTCCCACTTGGAACGATTGGCACGACCACAATAACCATTACCTCTACCACCATGATTACCACCTTAGGGTGGATATGGTGACCACGACTTCCACTAGGAATATATCTCCTCGAGTGAGTCCCATATTTTTTTGGTCGTGTCAAGAAGTTAAACATTAGAAGCTACTAAGGGTTCCATTCTAAATCACAACCATGCTATCATTAACGAATTCTCAATCCACCAATATTCAGAATTTTTAAGGTCTTTGGAGGGGGACTTTCGGTCAAATACTTGACTTTCCTTTTTGTACGTAGGAAAACTTTAATAGCATGAGACCATGATTGATAATTACGACTAGTGTTATTTAAGGCGTAAAGCGAATTGAAGCGAACAAATCTTCTGAGGCCTAGGCAAGAAGTGAGAGGCGAAGCGAATGCTTCATCGAAGCATAGCGAATTGTAACAAAAATAAGTAAATATTTTAGTTAATTATTTCTAAATATCCAAGTTCTAATTTTACAAATACTAAATATTTAAATACAACCAAAATCATAAACATTTAAATTCAAACAAACGCTAATCATATCTCAAATCTTCATGGCAACTTTAACTCAAAACATTTAAATTAAAAAAATACTAACAACATCCAAAATCCTAATATTTAAAAACTTAAGTCACACAATTCAAGCAACTAAACATTTAGTTAATGCTTCACAAATTACAAGGACTTAGAAATCAATCATTAGCACTGAAGAAACCATGTTCTTCATTATCTTTTGATTCATATCCCTCAGTATCATCCTCCTCTGTCTCATTTGAAATTGTTACTTCCTCGTCTATGAGTCCAGTCGACGATCTTGTAAACCTCGGTGTTACCCTCGAAGATGATGTTGATCTAGTGCATTGGCTACTTTTGCCAAATTGAGAAGCTTGAGCAACATCCCCATTTGACTCTTTTACACAAAAATTGTAGAGTTCCCCGTCAAGGTATTGCTTGACCCGATAGACACCTCCATTTGACTCTTTTCGACAAAAATTGTAATTGAAGTTGTTCGGGTTTTGGGGATTTATTAATTTCGCATAATTCCAAATCGAATCTTTTTTGTTCCCTTCGGTCGATGTTGCCATTTATTTGTTTATGATTGACACTATCACACTACAATCAAAGGGAACAAAAACAACTAAGTAATAAAATCAGAAACAGAATCAGCTTAAGCAAGTAATGAAATCAGAAACAGAATCAGCATAAGCAGAAATAGAAACCGCAGAATAAAAAATAGAAACAGAAACAACCAAAGAAGATTGGAAACACAAACAAAAGCAAAATCACAATCCCACAATTAGAGTACTAGAATTGCAAAAATTAGTAACATAATCAGAAGAAGCAGAATCAGAAGCAAAAACAGAAGTGAAAAATAGAAACAAAAACAGAAGCAGAACAAAAAGAAACAGAATTAGAGAAGAAGTCAAAACAGAGAATGAGAACTAAAGAAATCAGAGAATCCTAGGAAAATAAAACAGAAACATGGAATTCCAGCCAAAATAAAATAGAAGCAAAAGCAGAACCAGAGAATCAGAAGCAGAAGCAGAGAAGAAGAATCAGAAACAGAAGCAGAGAACGAGAAGGATTAGAATCAGAAGTAGAACTGGAAGCAAAAGACAGAAACATAAGCAGAAGCAGAGAAGAAGAAATCAAAATAGAGAATCAGAACTAGAGAAATAAAAGAACCCCAGAAAAATAAAAACAGAAACACAGAAGAAGCAGAATCATAAGAATAAGTAGAGCCAGCAGAATAAGAAGAAGAAGATAAGAAGAGAAAAGAAGAAATATCTTAGTTTTATTGAAGAAGGAGACAGAAGGTGCAACATTAGTAGTAGTAGATCTGGTTCTGGGTTGTGTTTTCTGTCGAAAAAGAAGAAGAATTAAAAGTAGAAGAAGAAGAGAAGAGGTGAAGGAGAGAAAAGAATATCATACCTGTGTTCTGTCAAAGAAGAAGACAGAAGCAGCAGATCTGGGTTTTATATCGAAGAAGAAGAATTAAAAGAAGAAGAGAAGAAGGAGTTTGCCGGGCAGACCTGTTCAGATGTGGGTTGTCTATGTTCTGTTGGGACTTCTTGAGGATGGAGAGAAGTAGCATCATTGCATCAACTTCCAGAGGTTGATTAGGCAAATTTAAGGTTTAGGTGTTAGATATATTGGGATAAGGGGCAATCGGGTGTCTGGGCATATCACAATTTTATTCCAATTTCCCCAATCCAATGGTCTATAATAAAAATAAAGCAACATAAAAAACATAACAAAGTCACTCGCTTTTCTCACTTTAACCTCGCTTCACTTATCTTCCCTTCGCCTGGGATGTTCAAGGTGAAAGAGTCTCGCTTTGCCTCGCTTTTGCAACTTAAAAAACTTAACAAAGTCACTGCTAGTCTTGCTTGTAAATTGTCACAAATGGTTTGTGACTGGTGATGAGTTATTCATGCCAGTATGTAAGTTCCCTGAACTTGTAGAGGTAGAATTTCAGTGAACTCTTTCTCTCTCCCCCTCTCTTTCTCATGTGATACTCTCCTTTTTTCTTATTCTATTTTTCACCTCAAAAGAAGTCATGGGCGACTGTTCTCCATGGATTCATTACTTGTTTAACATTGCATTCATTACCTGATAGCTTTATGTTCTCAGAAATTACCCATCTCATTATTATCATTTTATGTTGGCTGCCTTTTTGGTGACCATTCTGTTGAATTTTGGTTCAATAGTTTGCAGTCATTTGTATAGTTTAACGATTCCCTTATCTTGATTTTACTTGCTTGTTTTTTAAGTTCTTCACATCATATGTAGGGCAGAGGCATACGTGATCCAACTGGAACTATGGAAGAGCTTTACTCACTATTATTGATAACTGGCCATGTCCTGGCTGATGAAGGACAGGGTGAGACACCATTGGTAATTTCTACTACTTCCTATTTATAGTTCTTGCAGTTTTCAGTTGAACTATTAGATGATTAATTTGTCCTTTTGACAAGTTTATCAGCATTTAGTTAATGGTACTGTATTGATAAAAAAAAAAAAAGTTGATGGTACTGTACAAGAGGACCTTCTGTGCACTTGACTTTCATCTTAAATATTGCTCATTTTCATCATTTGACATTCGGGCATATCTGTATGTGTTTCATGTCTCACAGAAAACTGTTGGCATTTTCACAATTATTTATAATCAAGTATACATTACAATGCTGAGTACTATTGGCTATTTTCTCCATAGCTCGATAGGTCATGTGCAAATTGCTTAGTAGCTATTTTCTGCATAGCTTGATATGTCCTGTGCAAATGCTTGAAGATCACAACAGAAAGCCACTTATTTTGTTTATAAGTTTCAACTTTTGATTTTTAATTGCTTGTCAGACTTGCTTTTTTTTTGGTCAAGTGCAGACCTTATATGCACATGCCGATAGTTGTCAACTCATTGATCGCAGTTATCTGGGAATTTTTGTGCTTTCTCTTGTTCTATTAATATTAGTTTAGAAGGGCTAATGTCATTGGCACGTCAATTGGTGCTTCTGGCATTGCATTTCCATTTTCCCTGTTTGGTGTAAAATTTACGGCTTTAGAGTTCCTGAAGCTGTTTCTGGAGTGCCAAACATCTGCCTTACTGAATTGTATGTAAATTTTAGATGCATTCTGGTGATCAATTGGAATTCTGGGCTTTATTACCAAAAAAACAAAGATACGAAACTCAAAGCACATCCAAAAGGATACACAGAGCAAATATGATAAGAGATCAGCTTATCAAATCCTATTCTACCAAATACTTGAGATATTTCTCTCACAATCCTAGAGACCAGGTGCAGAAAACAAGAGAAAGATCCCTAAACCAAGAATACAACAATAAAATCATAAGGGATACCATAGACATCTGACCCAATACATGGGTCAGATTAAACTATCTGATCCCTGGGTGAAGACATGTCGAAAAGCCACACGCTGCAATGCCAAGGGACCAACATAGCTAAAGCCCAAAAGAGCAACTCAGGAAAGCCCAATCTATCCGGATTGGTCCACTTGGGAAAGAATGGTCGTGAAATGAAAGCCTTTAGGAGAGCTCTCTCTCCAGAATCTAGAGCGAGATGCTCTGTTCCCCCCTGGGGGTAGTATCTTGCATATATTATTAACACAAAATTCTACTCATGGGTGAACTTGTGTGATTTTCAGGTTCCAAAGGCTATACAAAGACAATTTATGGATGCAGTGGAGACGGACAAACATCCAGTTGTTATACTTTCTGGGTAAATTCCTGTAGACATGTTTAAATGGAGTTAGATGTCAAAGCAGTTCTGTGTTTAATATTTTCGACTGCTCAGATGGACCACTTGTTTAATATACGTTGCACTTAAGTACTCATTATTCGACTTGGTAAACTGAAAATAAAATAAGTATAATTCTCATAAAGTATGTTAATGTTAGTCAGCTGCTTTAATGATTTTTTCTAAATTACTTTTATAGCATTATGCAAAGAGATTGCCACTTGAAGGCAACTTCAGAAATAATTGTGCATTATTAGCAACTAATTGTTAGCACTATTGTGTTCGCTAAACCCGAAGACCATGCACTTGCCAGATGCAAGCCACATAATCCTCGGGTCATTGTGCCTTGACACTATTCATGAACAGTAACTATAGGTATGACAATGCAAGAAACTTATAGTTGACCGTTCAAATTCTTTTCCTAACGTCAACAATTCATAAAGTTCTCAAAAGATTATGCAACAGTATTTCAGGCCTGTCTTGAATTGATCAGCTTCTTCTGGTCAGCTCCTTTCATTTCTTCCCTCTTTTTAAACAAGATCCATATAAGTGGCTCATGCTTTTAGTTCCAGATCCATTTCACAGACATTGTTCTTGGTCTTGTCTTTTATATACTTATATACATACATGCAGATGACCTTTGTAGGCTTTGCTTGTGAATGTTTAGCCTTTGATTTCAGTTGAATGGTAAAATTGGTATAGTGTTTATGAGGGAAAGAAGGGAGAAAGAGATTGAGGGGAATGATCAGTTGTGTAGGTTGCGTTGCCCTACACTCTTATTTATAATTGTTAACTTTGAGAGAGAGAGAGAGAGACGTAAGAAAGAATTGGAACAAGTTGACCTACCATCCCTGTCATCATATATATATATATGTGTATCTCAATATAGCTAAAGACCATTATATCCCTATGGGGATGTACTTATTACATAAATGCCATTCTATATATTCTAACCCTCCTCTCAAGTTGCTGAATATATATCATATAATTTCAGTTTCGAACAGTTATTTCTCAACCGAGAACTACTTAACGGCTTAGTAAAAATATCAGCAAGTTGATTCTCAGAGTTGACAAAGTGTGTGACAATATCTCTACGCAACACTTAATGACAATCAACTTCAATGTGTTTTGGTTGCTCATGAAACACAGGATTTGAAGTAATATGAACAGTAACTTGATTATCACAAAACAACTCAATAAAGAGTCTTGACTGGGAAATCAATTTCCTTAAGGAAGTGTTCCATCCATGTAACTCACTACACGTGTGAGCCATTGCTTAGTACTCAGCTTCTCCACTAGACTGTGCCACCACTGTATGTTTCTTACTCCTCCCATGTTGTTAACTTTAGAGAGTTAACACAATATTAGAGAAAGATGGAGAGTGGTAAAAAAACCTTAGCCTACCTCTCACAAATAACTTGTATTTATCGTTGACTCTTACCATATAAAAGACGTGTATATCCTCTAGTGGTATATTTATTACAACTAGTATTTACATAATACTCTTAACACTCCCCCTCAAGTTGGACTATATATCATATAAGCTAAACTTAGAACAAGTAGCTGTAAGACGCGTACGACTCAATGTTTTGATAAATTTATCTGCAAGTTGATCCTCAGACCTCACAAATGGAGTTGTAATATCTCTAGGTATTATCTTGTCTCAAATAAAGTGACAATTAACCTCAATATGTTAGGTTCTATCGTGAAATACTGGATTGACAGCGATATGAATAGCTGCTTGATTATCACAAAAAAACTGTACTGGAGGTTGAACTGGAAAGTCCCTTGAGAAAGTGTAGCTCGTCAACTCACTAGTTGTATATGTCATTGCTCTATACTCAGTCTCTGCATTGGATCTTGCTACCACCGTTTGTTTCTTACTCTTCCATTAGATAGCATTTCCTCCAAGGAAAGTACAATAACTAGTAGTTGATTTCTAATCAGAAAGAGAGCCGACCCAATCAGCATCTGAAAAACCTTTTAGTCTAAGATGTCCATTAGCTCGATATAATAACCCAAGACTAGCAATACATTTGAAATATTACAAAATACGAGTGACTGCCTCCCAATGTGGTATTCTAGGGTATTTCATAAATTGACTTACTACATTAGACAATGTCTCATGTAAGTGCTTAGGAACAGAGATAGTAGACAGTTGAGACGTAAAACAAGAGTTGTAAAAATGTAGTCGGAAAAATGTTGACATCACTTTTTTGGTGATGATGTCGGTGCACAGAATTCCTACTGATTTTTTTATTATGTTGTTCTTGCAATTATTTGCCCAAAAAAAAAATAAAAGACTGCTCTAATACCAAGTTGAATAATAAAATTGATATTAGGGCTTATGTGGGAAAGAAAAAGGGAGGAAGAGATTGAGAGGAATAATTGGTTGTGTAGGAAACGTTGCCCAGCACTCTCTTGTTTATAATAAACTGACATTATGAGCAATTACATTATTCCATACAATACTAATAATCTAAAATAAGAACTCTAACAACTTCTTTGAAGCTTTTCATGATGATCATGAATACATCAAATGGTGTTGTAGCTTCTGGTGGGATGTAGAGAGGTTTATTTGTAAAGGATTTGTGGGGAAATCTACTCCTTCCATATGCATTCCAGAATATGTATTCATTCTTGTCGTTCAATTGATTTTGGAGCGACATAATACAATATTTAAAGTGCTCTTTCCTTTAAAAATTCAAAGTCTAATAATGGAGAGAGCTCTTGTTAAATGCCCGACATGAAGGCTACTGGTCTGTTTGAACATATTGTCCGGCATGCAGGGAGTTTGTTTTGATTTGTGGAAATGCTTTGTAGACTTGTATTGTTTGGTGTTTTTTTAGGTTGAACGGTCCTCGGGGGAGGAGCCAAAAAAAAAGGTGGTCAGCTTTGTTCAATACACCAATTACTTTTCAGAACATACAATTTGTGCTCTTGAGCATAGGTGTAATTTCGTGTGAAATCATCTGATTGGTCTTTCAAATTTTTTGAAAGTTTTTTGGAAATTTTTGGACTTGCTCCCCGATCCACTGTTTCAGGGCCACTGGGTTTTTTTTTTTTTTTTTGGACTAGATTTGTTACATTGGGTACGACTAGAACCTATAAGTAATGCCCAGCCATCGTTATTGCATTCAGGGTGGATTTATGCATGTTTTTGGTCCCTTCTTGCAGCTGGCAGTGGGTTTTCTACCTATCCAGTGAGGCATTTGGCTCCTGATCGTGGCGAAGCCAAAACCAAGCCGTGGTAGCTACGTCTAGCGTGGAGGCTGAATATTTAGCAATGGTCCATGAAGTCTATGAGCTTATGTGGTTTCAAACATTACCGGGAGAGATGAGAATTCATGATGATGGACCTAAGAGACTATACTGTGACAATAAGACTGATATCAAATATTGCTCATAATCCAATTCAACATGACATAACTAAACATGGTGAAATTGATTGGCATTTCATTAAAGAGAAGTTGAATAAGGGTTTGATTTGCATGTCTTCCGTGAAATCAAAAGATCAATTACTTGATGTTTTTGCAAAAAGGGCTTAGTAGCAAGGTTTTTTATCCCATTGTTTGTAAGTTGGGTATGAGAGATATTTATGCACCAACTTAAGGGGGAGAGTTGTGTTGTGCATAATTTTTAGCTTAAGGGTATTTTAGTACTTTATGATTTTGATTATATATAAACACACTTCTCTCTTTCTATATTCTTTTCTCCTTCTCACTTCTTCTCTTCTCCAAAACCCTAACGGCTCTACAATATAACTTATGTGGACGTGTAGTCGAATGAAAGATATCATGATTAACACAAAATATATGAATAAAAAATTGTACATATTCAAAGGTAGCATTATCCAACTGAAGCTTTTGTAGTGAAGGATGATCCAATCGAAAATGTCACGAGAAAGGAGATACGGTAGCACTCGAGGCAAGAACTACTGCTCGGGAATTCAAATAGTAAAATCTATTATGCCTACGTACCAAATCAATCACTTTTTTCATCTGGAGGTCATGAATAAATAAGATGGAGAAATGGTCATTGATCATTGTAAATACTTGGTTAATTGACTTACAGATAACATATTAAAGGGAAACTAAAGGACAAATAAACTAGATATTAATAACACGGATTCAATAGGATGAAGATCACCAGTTCCATGTACTGATTAAAAAGGACCATCAGGTAAAACAATACAAGAGTTAGAAGAATAAAAAATTAGAAAACAATGAGGAAATACCAGACATGTGGGTACTAGCTCTCGGATCAATAATCCAAGATTGTCAAGGGGATTGTGCTGCAACATGTGTAAAATTACATGTAGTGACTAAATCGACTGTTGAAGTAGGCGAATGAGATGAGAGTGAAGACAGCTGTTGGATGATCTGATTGAGTTGAGAAGTAAGATCATCATGATGTTGGGTTTGTCACGACACTCTTGTTGTGTTCTAATCGGACTCGTCAGGTAAGGATACAAGCAACAAACCGCCACAAATTGTCCAAAAGCACTAGATCTGAGAAATTGACCTTATTTTGTTGAAAATCATTCAAAAATAAGAAACCTTCTTTAGATGACATCAAAAAATTAAGCAAAAATCACCGTAATTATGAACAAAAAAAAAAAAAAAGAGTTGGATGGTAGTGTTCTCGATGCCGGCTGATGCCATGATGATGTCAGCAACATAAAGTCTCCACGAACTGTGATCTATTATTTTCTTGATAATTTTTTGGCTCAAACCTGTGCTCCGATATCAACTTGAAATAGTTAAAAATAGAATTAGGGTTAGAAGGAGAGAGGAAGAGAGAAAAAAGAGAGGTGAAGAAAAGAATAATCTATTGTGTAGGTTTGGTTTTCCTATACTCCTTTATTTATAATTGAATAATATTAGAGTTATTACAATATGACCTACACTAATTAACACTAATTAAATTATGTCTAACTTAGAAAATAAGACCTATAACAAAATGTTTTATTCATCGGTGGTTGTTGATATAGGACTCAACTTTATATATAGGGTTAGAAATAAAAAGAGAAAGAGTGGCTATCACACATGCCTTTCACTAATACTTAACTAGACTATGAGATAATGGTAGATCTCTGTAGATTTTATCATATCTCTAATAGGCTGCCTCAATTTTTTTCTTTGGAAAGTATTACTCTCCGTTGTGTCCAAGTTGAACTGAAAAATAAAGTGGTGTTGGAACTATTCTGTTGGAAGCAGCGCCGTCATATTTTAGGAAGCCTTGTCTTGAAATACAACGTTGTAGTTGCAAGGATTGTGACAGAAAATACAGCTTGATGAAGTTATTGATGATGTATCTATGGTGATAAAATGCCCCTAGATTAATAGGTTGGGAGTCCATGTGCACGAAATTACCTTTGTACAAAAAAAATCAAATTTGCTTTTTTTTTTTTAATTATTTATAATTACTTTTTTTTGTCTCTCTCTTTCTCTCTTTCTCTCTCTCGACTCTTTTTGCTCCCTTCTTTTCTTTCTTTTTTTCAGGCCTTTGTTACAACTCTAATCATTAGAGGCTTTACAAATCAATAATAAAAGTTAAGCTTTCTTTGCATCTTCAATCTTGATATCATTAATTGTAGCAAGATGTTTTACTTCATCTTCCAAACAAGGATCAAAATTTCGTTTCGAAGTACCGTTTCGGTCAACTCAAAAATAGAAACGTTTCGGAAACATTTCGGAAACGCAGAAAAAATATGGAAACGCATAGAAACACAAATGCAATCCATTAATTTATAAAGATATGCTAAATAATTTATTAATTCAACATATTTATTAGGTTAACATCAATTTATACAAGAATAAATTTAAATTTGAGGGAAAAAAAGGCTTGACTTGAGGTGAAAGTCACTTAAATTAGTTTCAAACACTTAATTTTTATGAAATAAACACATTTTTACATAATATTAAGGTCTTATAATACACATGAAATGCTAATGAGTACATACTTACATGGTTACATCCATTCCCCTGTGGAGTGTCGAGCAGGCTCATACATCGGTGTAGGCTCTGGGTAGCTACTTAGAGAAACTCCATATGTGACATAAATATGATGACAATAGTTACTCCAAATCATATTATTACGGTAATATAATCCAATTAATAATACTATTTTATTATAATACTAATAATGAAGGGTATCAAATTAAATTAATGATACTTATGTATACTTAAAAATTAAATGTAATTGCAGTGGGTATTAAATGTAATTACAATAGGTATTAAATATAATTACATTAGGGTATTAAATGTAATTGTTAATACTTATAACAAAAAAAAAAGCAAAAAACTTGCACAGCAGTGAGGTATTAAATATAATTACAGTATGTATTAAATATAATTATAATGGGTATTAAATATAGTTATAGTAGGGTATTAAGTGTAAATATTTATTCTTATAACAAAAAAATTATAAAAGACAGAAGAGCAGTGGGAATTAAATGTAATTATAGTGGGATATTAAATATAATTATAGTGAGTATTAAATGTAATTACAGTGGGTATTAAATGTAATTATAATGGGGTATTAAATGTAATTATTCATAATGAACCGAATATATCATTGTTTTGTCGAAACGGTTCGAAACAATGCCGTTTCGACCGAAACGGTCCGAAACAGTACCGTTTCGACCGAAACGGTCCGAAACAGTACCGTTTCGACCGAAACACTGGAATTTTGTGATTCAACTACTGTTTCGTTTCGGAGTGTTGAAATTCCGAAACGTTTCGGACGTTTCGGACGTGTCGACACGACATTTTGATCCTTGCTTCCAAAGGCATGGCAACAACATGGCTTTCATGTGCTTGGGGTGATTGCTCTCTTTAGTTGCTTGACTTCTTAAATTCACAGACTCTCATGCGATTTGGCGGATGTCAAGAGTAGTTAATTGCCTATGATGCCAATGTCGGTGGAAAACTATCTGTTGCTTTAATACAACGTAAAAATTTAGAACATAAGAGAGATTGGTGATAATAATGTAAATAAAAACATGAGCGCGAGGATATACTTGGTTCAATGCATGGTGTCTCATGCTTGTATCCACGGATCAAATTCCCTAGAGAGGTACTTCTGATGTGTTATTTGTTGGTTATTGTTCACATATGACTAAGCCCTATTTATAGGGCGAGAAATAAACAAGAGTTAAACTATAACACATTCATGTTATCATCTAGACTCATCCAGACTATGTAGATAATAATATATCTTTTTAGATCCTATGATATCTGTAATAGTGTTAGATCATAGGTTTAACTTTTGTTAGCTATAAATAAAGGGATTGGTGTACCCTCTTTTACCTATGGACTTTGCCCAAATTTGACCGGTTGGAGTAGAAAGAGTTGTTATAAGGTTCCACAGATCGCCCTCCCCTTAGCAATTGCCTTGATGGTGTGGCTTTGTAGGTCCCACCTTTGCAACCCACTTTCGGTCTCCATCTACACTAATTTGCTTCAAGTATGAAGAAATGATTGTATCATTGTGTATTCAGCAAAGTCATGGGAATTTATTGTGGTTGAATGATCATTTGTCCCCAAAGAAATTGTGTTGTACCACATTATCCTATTTATTTGTTATTTCAAATTTAAGTTCCTATGTTGTTGTTTTCTGGCAGGGAGTCAATAATTTTGTTGCTTATTGTTTCCATGAATACTTGTTCTTGATTTGCGTAGATCAATCTTAAGGTTTGCTGAGCAGAGTTTAGATCCAGAGATGAGAGCATCATTTTTTAGTCCTCGACTTATGGAGGTAGTTTAACATATATCTTTCTTTTCTCTGCTTGACTCTTTTGACATTTAAGTTTTTTTTTTTGTTTTGCATTTCATTTTCTCATGGCTGGTATTAAGATCTATGGGATCTTTTATTTTATGATTCATTTTTTTTTCTCTTCTAGCTATGCCATATCTCTGGGTTAAACTGTGTTCATCTCCTCTTAGACAGCAGTCAATGGTTTTATATCAAGTACTTATGAATATTTTAAAGAGAGCTTGTATTCAACATCAGATGATTAGGACCACCCAAGTTTGGTTTTGAAGCTTAAGGGGCCTCTCCACTCATTGTCGATTGATTTTGGGTTAGATGCTCTAACATAGTATCAGAGTTGTGCCTTGGTAGTTAGTGGGTCAAGTCTCTTATCCATTTGAATTTTTTGGCATGCATATTTGTTTATTTGTTTGTTAGCCCCATGTGCGAGTCTGGGTGCCACATGAGGGAAGGTGTAATGAGAGCTTATATTCCCCGTTTGATGGTTAGGACTGCCCAAGTTTAATTTTTATGCTTGAGGGGATTCGCTACTTACCAATTGGTTTTGGGTTGGATACTAACAAATATAACTACTATCATATCACCTCATATTTGATGTCAATGGAGTCACAATGAAGTCTTACCTGAGATTATGTTTGCACCCTGTTTCTGACTAGCATTAGTTTTGTTTTGTATGCATTGTTCATGCAATATTTTTATGTGATGATACTTTGGAGATTGATGATCAGATATTTGTTTGATACCATATGGTCTTTTTGCTACACATTGTGTTCCCGATTACTAGATCTTCATACATAAAGATATTTTTGAAACAACGCAACAAACATAAACAATAATATTTTGAGCAAGATGATTATTTTCTCTTTATGTCCATTATTGATTTGGCTAGAAAAATCCATACCTTTGAACTTTTTGCTATAGTTTTGTGGTTGTATTTTCATGGTTTTCTTATTTGGGATAATGCTCGATCAGGCAGTTGTATGGTTTCTCGCAAGATGGTCTTGTACTTATCTAATGACTTCTGAAGGAATTAGTGACAATAACGTCAATTCAGATAATGATCATGAGCCTCAACTTCAGTTGCACCAGTCCAGAAAGGCATTGCTTAGTTTTGCTGGAGACCACAATCAGGGTAAAGCTGCACTTGACATTATTGTTCGCATCTCCATGGCAACAGTTGTATCATATCCTGGTGAGAAGGATTTACAGGTATGAATATAGGATATCTTGTATATTGACTTGTCTATGAAGTTTGCAAATATATCTTCCTTAGACTGTGTGGTTCTAGTTCTACACACCTACTGAGAGAAGTAGTAGGAAATATCCAATTTCTGTCTTGATATTTGTATGACCTTATGTTACTTCAATGTGTTTTATAAAATAATGAGCACCTGTTGTGCTCTTGATTGTTAATGCTTATTAAACGTGCCTATCTAACCTTTGATAGTGTTTGCCAATGGATGGCCATTTGGTAACCTTGTGTTGTTCCAAAATATGAGACCTCAAATCCTATGGAATGAAGTTGACAGCCTGTATGCTTTAACATCCGAAAATCTATATGGGTCAGGGTGCTCTGTGTAGGTCCAATCTGTCGTTCGCCTTTCTTTAGGGAGTCACCACCTTTTTTCAAATGTCACTAAGCATCACATCGATAGGGTGATGTCCATGGACACTCTAGTGCCGAACATGGCTGGAAACGGCTTTCCATTGGAGAGGTAGATGCACTGAGCTGTACTAATAGAAGAAAAATGTTTTAAAGAATATATGGTTCAGCATATTTTTTCTCTGTTAGAGGAGTTCAAATTGCATTGATGGCCACCCGTTGCCCCATGACTGCAAATGTTTGTCTATAGATTTTACATTTGATGATTTCTTTGGGCTGGAACGAAACAGCCTTCTCCAGCAGACAAATTTGATGTAGACTTTTGTGGGGCCTTGGGTTTGGACTTAATTTCTACATTATAGGTGGACATGAAAGGGTCCTCATAAGTAAAATAGTTGTGCAAAAGAAAGTTCGCAGGCTGAAAATTTCTTTTTAGTAAAGCACTTTTACTTTCTTGCTTGTATGCTAATATGAATTATTTAATTATTTATATTGGTGTCTCCAAATGCTTATCCTCATTTATATGAATAGATGATTCTAGGTCTTAATGTCATTTAAAGGTATATCAATGGAAAAGATGGATTACACTGTGGAATATTTCAACCCTTGTTCTAGTTAGAAATGTTTAGAACTAATTAGAGAATAAGAAAATGCACAAACCTTTTTCTTTTAAGTACAAGTGACAATATACCAAGCGTATACTCAAAGAATTGGTTTGCTCAATATCAACGTTCAAAATATCGTCTCAGTTATAGCTCGGAAATGGAAATGTTTTAGAAACATTTCAAAAACGGAGAAAAAATTTGAAAACAGTGAAAACAGATGTAAACATATATTAAGATCATTATCTTTGTATTCATAAACTTAATAATTATCAATTGAGAATATTTATTGTCTTAACATCCATTTACACTAAATAACATCAAGGTGAGGAAAATAAAGAAGGTTACTATGAGGTAGAAGTTGTTTCATCTTCATCAAACAGACACTGAAAGGATATTAAGGTCTCATCATACAAATGACAGGCTCATTAGCATGATATGAAAGTATTCATAATAAAAACTACATCCGGTCTACTGTAGAGTGTCGAGTTGAGACATAGATCACTGCTGCGCTGAGTAATCCTGAAGGGGACCTCCATACTTGCTATAAATATGTTGACAATAGCTAGCCTAATTCATATAAGTACAAAATGTGTTATATTCCGACCTAAACCTCTTATAGTCTCCAATACTTCAACCAATCTGCTAAGAAACGGATGCGTCTGCCCCTGCCTAACTTTCGCTCTATCTATATTATGATGATGTCTGAAAGTCATTTCTATCCATAATTATAGATTGAGAATCCATACCTGTATTCCCATGTCATGCCCCTATCCATAATCATACGATGGAATATCATATCCACTTATCCTGACCCCAAACCCAATGAAGATGATGAACCATAAGCATGGTGTTCACCTCCACTTACACTCATACTAGACAAACCAACTTTAATTATATCAACTCCTAAAATGCATAATAGCATTCATACTGAGTGGAGTGCTAGGATTCGAGTATGGTCATGTTTACGATCTTTTCAGCCTTGCCATCCATATTGAAGCATACGTTGAGTCACTATTCTCATCTTTTGTTGAATGTGTAAAATCCTAGCTCATTTTTGAATACAACTCCATGTGGACTCTGATTTTTCCTCCCTCCTTTTGATGAACCAGTGATGTGCTCACCACTACCTTTGTCGTCACCATCTCCAGGATTATCACCACCACTAGTAAGAGGATTATCACCATCACTAGTAAGAGTGGCAAGTTGCTTAGGTCTTTGTGGACCTCTTTAGTCGCTAAAATTCTTCATCCTCCATTTTTTTTTCCTCACTTTACGTGATCTTTCTCCATTTAATTTGGATCTTAATTTTCGCAGTGCCGCGACACTATGACTTTGGCTTACTCTTCCTTCATCATTAGCACAATGGTTAGTCCATGTTGTCAAGAAAGTGTTCAGTCTAATTGGTTGCCCATCGTCATCAAGCTCATCCAAAAGTGCATCGCGTGGATTATCTAACCACTCTAAAATGACTTCATCTTCCTGAAATACAGTGGTTAAGTTTATATGTTTAATCATATCATTTTCTTTCTTTCATAAGGTGCTTCAACTTCAACCTCTTGTTATGTTGTTCAAACACCAGCTTTTCTACCATTTGGTAATTGAGTCGATTTCACACTTTAGTATGCATGAGAGCAAAGGTGCTCTAACTTCTTTCACAACTACTAGATGAGGCTATTTGTGATAAAATTCTCTTAGCAATCTTCCTCAAATTAGGTGCATCAATGTCATACATAAACCAACATTCAACTGTACAATAATAAAAAACATCTTAATACTACTAACAAAAAAAAATGAAAAATGAAAAAAATGTGATGTATGAAAAATCTATTTGAATGGTTGGATCAATTTTAGTTATTCCTTTAATTGCAGCTTGGTTGACAAAACTATACCTCTTAAAATATTTTTACCTAAATAACATGGATATTTGTTAAAATAACTTATTAGAGATTATATTTGTATTTTGTAATAACATACTCTTAAAATACAAATTGAAAGACTAAATTGTTTCATCTGTAAGTGCTTCAGAAGCCTTGTTTAGATTTGCTTCTTATCGATCGACCCAGTGTTATTTAAAGCGTAAAGCGAATCGAAGCGACCAAGGCTCCTAAAGCCTAGGCGAAAAGCGAGAAATAAAATGAAACCTTTTACCAAAGCGAAGTGAACAGTTAAAAAAAAAAGTAAATATTTTAGTTTAATTACTTCTAAACATTTAAGTTCTAATTTTATATATACTAAATATTTAAATGCAAGTAAAACCATAGACATTTAAATTAAAACATACTAATAATATCTCAAATCTTAATAACAGTCATAGCTTAAACATTTAAATTCAAACAAACACTAATAATATTCTAAATCCTAATATTTAAAAAACATAAGACACACAATTCAAGCAACTAAAGAAACCATCTCAAAGACTTAGAAATCAATTCTCATCACTAAAGAAACCATCTTCTTCATTATCCTTAGAATCATATCCCTCAGTATCATCCTCCTCTGCCTCATCTGAAATTATTTCTTCCTCATCTATCAGTCCCGTCGTCGATCTTGTAAACCTTGGTGTTACCCTAGTAGATGGTGTTGATCTAGTCCGTTGGCTACTTTCCGCAACTCCAGAAGCTCGAGCAACTTCACCCCAAGTCAAAGTATCATCACAAAACACAAACTCATTATTTTCATCCATGTCTGCATCCATTCTCCCTATCAACCACTTATTACTATCATCAATATTCTTCAAAGATATTAGATCAATTGTGTCACGGGAATCATGTCGGCGTCTCAAAGCTCTATTATACTTAACAAACACCAAATCATTGAGACGGGATTGAGCTAGTCTATTTCTTTTTGTGGTGTGTATCTGCAATAATTTATTAATAATACATTAAAATTTATAATAAGATAAAAAAGAATATAATTGAAGAGGTTTGAGGATGATACTCACATACTCAAACACACTCCAATTTTGCTCACAACTGGATGCACTACAAGATTTAAAACTTTTTTTGCAAAGCTTTACAAATTTGGAGTTGCAGACCCATATGCATTTCACCAATCAACCGTGAATAATAAATAACAATTAATTAACTAACATCTTTAAGCAATGATAATGAAATAAGCTTGTAGGATAACATAGATTACCTGGTGCCCTCGTTGTTCTTTGTGTAACCGCTATGGGCAACTTAAAGAGGTTTTCACGTTTTATGTAAATACTCAACTCTTGATCAATTTTATCTTGTATCGCAGTATTTGAGACCAACCTTTCTAAATATTTATATGGGCCATTCATGACTTCTAGATCTTTCTCAACCTCTGGATTGAAATACCCAACTGCATGCAAAGGTTGATGCAACTGAACTTCTCACCTTTGGTCAATGATTTCAAAGATGTGTTTGTATTTCTTTTCATTGCCATTAAAAGAATTAGTAATTGCTTCTTTAGCCCGGTCCATAGCTTCATAAATGTACCCAATGGGAGGCTTCTTCTCACCATCAACCAATTGAAGCACACGAACAAGAGTGCTTGTAAGCTTAAAATGATTTGAGTTGTCCTTTTGCCTTGTTGTTCTTTTGCCCATTTGCTTGTAGTTCATTCCTATGAAGTGAACATTTTTCTCAAGTTATCTTTTTGTTGGTTGATCCTTGTTAGAGTAAGAAAAGTCGTAGCAACTCTAGTTTTTGTGGGCTTAATCAACTCCTTTGACTGGGTAAATCGTATCATCATATTTAACAGAGTTGGACGGTTATAAATATAACCGTGTAATGCTATTCCTCTCTCAAATGTTCTCTTGAAGTTTGACAACTTGAAGATATCTTCCAACATCAAGTCCAAGCAGTGGGCAGCACATGACGTCCAATATAGGTTGGGTCGTTTTGCCTTCAAAAACTTTCCTATTAAACAAAGATTTTTTATCAACTAGTGTGCATAAAAAAATTCAATATAACAAGTAGTTATCTTTCTTTTTCAAGAAGCGCATACTTGCTAATACATTTGTTGCCGCACTATCAGTGACAATTTGGCCACATTAGCTTCACCAATACGCTCCACAAAAATATCAAACAATTCATGCATTTTTTTGCCTATTTTTTGAGTATGTAGAAGCATCAACGGATTCAAAGAACATGGTCCCTTTTAGACAATTCACTAAGAAATTAATCAAGGTTCTCCCTCTCTTGTTAGTCCATCCATCGACCATTATGGAACATCCATATTTTGCCCAATCCTCTTGGTGATCTTTCATCAATGGCTTGATATGCCCTATTTCTTTGTTGAGCAATGGGACCCGAATCTCATGGTAAGAAGGTGGTTTCAAACTAGGACCATACTATCCAATAGCTTCAAACATTACTGCAAAACTTTCATAGTTCACAACATTAAAAGAGAATTCCCATGTCATTCATCCATTGAGCAAATGTTATGATGGCTTTTTCTCTCATTTCCTTTTTAAAAGGATCGTTGGCATCAATCTTCGTTTGTCTCCCCTTGGTCTTTCAATTTTGCACCACAAATTTCGG